CGGGCGAGTGGAGCAGCGCCCTGAAAACACCCTAGCCCCACGGCAAAACGTACTGTTCCTTGTTTAGGTGCTAAGGGATACGACACCTTCCCCTACCCACCCAGTGAAAACTTGTTGTTCCTCATCCATATCATAAATAGAACTTGAATAGAAAATAAACGTTCCGTAACTTTCCAATGTGCACAGCTGGCACGTCTCCTTTCTGGTATATTTTGTCATTTGCCAAATGTTTGAATTCACTCTGTCTCGCTGGCTTTACTTGTTTTGAAACCTTCAGGCCTTTTCCCACCGCAGCCCCCAACTACGAACTGCCCCGGGCTCCGCGTCCTACCCCAGCACTGGGCACGGTCGCTGTGGTTTTGCTGTTGCTGTAACTTCTAATAGCCGTTTAAGACATTGGGGAAACGAAATTGACACCGTCGGTGAAAGCAGCCGGAATGACTGATCCTGAAGGAGGAGACTAACGAAACCCTCCGACAGTCGCGTCCTGGTGGTGCAGTGGTGAAGCGCTCGGCTGCAAACTGAAAAGTCCGCTTCTGCAAAGATTTACAGCTTTAGAAACCTCGTGGAGTGGTTCTGCTGTGCCTACGAGGGTCACACGGGGTCAGGATCCACTCCTGGACGTTGTTGTGGGTTGGACTTGGTTAGGAGAGTTGAGTGTTTTACCGTTTATTTCTGAAGCAACTTGAAGTGGTCTCACCATATGCCATCCTCCTTGTGACAAGATTTTATGGTGCATACTTCATACTTTTTTGTAAAAATATCAAACAAAAAAGGGATGACATCTGAATAACTACTATAATCGGTTTTTTTAGAGTTTTGATCTCCTGTGTACAATTCCTAGAACAATAGGTCTATTGATTGACATCTGCCAGTTATCCAGCTTTCGCCTTTGTGCCTGACAATGTGAAGTTCAATTCACAATAACATTGACATAATGTACCGAGCCACATCCTGTTTGTTCCTTTATTCATATTACATATGTGTGTAATATATGTACATATAAATGCAAAATTATGTCAAGGCCTGGAAAAATAAATTCATGTGTATGTGTGAGTATGTGTATAATCAAGAAGGAAAATACTTTTTTTTTTAATTTGGTAGAAATAATCATTTAAGTACACAAAGTTTAAGTCTTCTAACTGGCTCATTCCTACACTAACTAGCCCAATACTTGTCAATTCAGTTCAGCATGCTTATCTTAATCCTGCCTTGGGTGCAATGTAGAATTTTTTAAAGCACATCTGCCTTTTAGAGATGGTAAGTATGCATCACCGCCATTCCTATTTCCTTGAATGACATTCCTAGATCCTAGATTACAAAAAAAAGGACACTGAAGGGCATATATGTTCCTTTTGAAGGACATAACAGAAAATTTATAATTAAGCAGCAATTTGCCTCAGAAAAACAAAGTCCACGAGACTTATACTAATTCAACTGTTCTTCAATCCCTGCAAGCACAAGGAAGAAGAACATGGCTAATGTGTGTTCATTTAAATGCCAAGGGAAGCAACTTGTTTAAAGATAAGCATATGGTGCTCAAAGTACATGTAGTTCTTAACTGGCCCATTCAGGAGTCAACTGATAGAAAATCAATTCCACTTTCTCTACCATGGAAGTAACAACTGTAACAGGTAATGTTTAGAGAGTGTTTAAAATGTGCTAGATACTGCCCAGTTATACAATGTCTCGTGGTCAGACAATACAATTCCAATGATATAATTGTTATTCCCATTTCACAAATGAGGAACTGAAGTTAGAGCCCATATATTGGCAAGAAACAGTAGTATCACAATGAAAACCTGGAGTTAGAAGGGGGCAGAGGAAGTACAGCATGGAGAAAGGAAATATTAACAGAAGAATTGGCAAACCGACAAAGAAGCCTTCTCACTAAAATTCAAATAAGTATAATGAAACTTGTAGGTCAATAAATCAGTCTTATATGTGAAATGAACTCAGCGTTATAACAACCAGCCTTCCTGGTCTGCCAGAGATTAGTGGATTCCTCGCTTTCTCCCAAGAAGATGGCATTCAGGCACCCTTCAGTCCTAGAATTAAACTCAACCCCTCATCTTTCAGCCGATCATTAGACTGGCCTACAAGGTAAACAATAACATCTTTAGAACCATCAGAGATCAAAAGGGCAGCGTCTGTCTTCAGAGGAAGGGATAGGAAAGAAGGATTGATGGAACCAGTGAACACAGGAAAGAAGTGGAGTGTTGTAAAATTGTGGGGATTAGAAGCAATCTCACAATACAAACTGTATCTGAATTGTTCAATGGAAACCCAAATTTAACCACATGGGCAAACTTTCTCCCTCAACACAATAAAAACATTAAAAAAAATAATTTTAAGTGAATCAGTCCTTTGTCCTTGCTGTCAATGAGTAAGACTGACCACTCAATTCCCTGCCGTAGAATCAGAACAGACTAACAACACTGCAGAGTAGAGTAGACCTGCCCCAGTGGGTTTCCAAGAGAGTAACTCTTTACTATAGTTGAAAGCCAGTCTGCTCTGAAGCTGCAGGTGTTTTCCAACTGCTGACCTGGCAGCGAGCAGCGCAATCGCTAACCCATCACACCACCAAGGCTCCTCATGCTGACCACACTGGATTGAAACCATTTGAGTAGGACCCATATATGTTCTAAAACCAAAGCACTAAACAGCCATCAAGTTGTTTCAAACTCATAGCTTGAAAAACAACCATAACTAGATAAACACAGAGAAAACCCTCTAGAAGAAAAAAAAAAAGAAGTACAAAATATTAAAAACTTTAAAATGGGTCACAAGGGAACTCAAATGATAGTGTGTTACATTTTAACCTAACTATATCTGCTGATATAGTTAAAGCTTATTGTGCCAACCTGGCTGATAAATACATGTGGGGTTAATTGAAGGGCAGAGAGATAAATGGTTCAGTGAGCCTCGCCTTTCTAGTTTTTGGGTCTCTTGCTTTCTGATGGTCGGACCAGGATGCAGCTGCCTTAGCCAGTGCCCTGCTTCAGCCGGCAAGGCTCACTTCCTGCAAGACATCCCCAAGGAGAAGCAGCATGGGCTCCCATGCAGCCCTGGGTGCTGGAGCGGCCGTGTGGGTGTGGAGACCCCTGCCAGCACTGAGATGCTTGCACATTCACTGACTTGGCTTTCCGCCTGCAGTCGGCGTCATCGCATGTGTTCTGTGAGATGGAGGAGGACTTTGTGGATTGGTGTCAGATATATGGGTTAATGTTGGACTTGTGAACTCGGGCAACACTGGGTTGGGATGTTTTCTTGATGTGCACTGAACTTTTACGTAAAACTCTCTCTTACACATGAGTTTCTGTGGATTTGTTTCTCTAAAGTACCCAGACTCACACATCTGCCATAATCGACTTTATAATGCTCTCTCTCTGATAGGGCTATTCACAGTCCCTCAACTAGCGTCAGAGAGAATTTACCAAAGGCATCATTCATGTGGAGACCCTGTAAATAGATGGTAGGCTTCTGCTGTCATTCATAGCTTTATGCAAGGGAGTTTTCATAATTTAAGCTTTGATGCCATTTGCTCCTTCAGATTTGAATTTCATTATTTTCAATGCTTAGATCACACACACTGGTGTGCTTCTTCCATGTGGACTTATTTGAGACTTCATTTAGATGGGTGCTTGTTTCAGTACAAGACTCCAGACAATATTCTTTCTGACAGCCAGGCATCATCTAGTTTCTTCATCACACTTTACTATAGAACCTATATCTTCAGGGACCTCTTTATTAAGGAGAACAATCTTTTATGCCACACAGGCAGTCTGCAGGAAAGAAGGATGAATGGATGGCTGGAAACTCAAACAAATAAGCATTAATACAACAGAGTCGTTAGGTGCCATTGAGTCAGTTTTGACTCATTGTAGCCTTATATTCAACAGACGGAAACACCACCTGACTTTGTGCCATCTTCACAATTGTTATGTTTGAGCCCATTGTTGCAAACCACTGTCAATCCATCTTGTCGAAGGGACTTCCTCTTTCTTTCCTATCCATCTCCTTTACCAAGCATGATGTCCATTTCCAAGCACTGGTCTCTCCTGATACCAGGTCCAAAGTACATGAGAAAAAGTCTCCACATCCTTCTCTCGAAGGCAGTGGTTCTCAACATTCCCAGTACCGTGACCCTTTCATACAGTCCCTCATGCTGTGGTGACCCCCAACCATAAATTTATTTTTGTAGCTACTTCATAACTGTAATTTTGCTACTGTTATGAATCGGGGGACCCCTATGAAAGGGTTGTTCGACCTCATGGCTTACAGGTTGAGAACCACTGCTCTAAGGAGTTTTCTGGCTGCACTTCTTCCAATACAGACAGAGTTGTTCTTTTGACAATCCGTGGTACTCTCAACATTCTTCACCAGCACCAGGATTCAAATGCAGGGATTCTTCTTCAGTCTTCTTACTCAGTGTCCAGCTTTCACACATAGATGAGGCACTTGAAAAGGAGGCACCATGGCTTGAATCCCTAGTCCTCAGAGTGACATTCTTGCTCTTCTACGCTTTAAAGAGAT